TGTTACAAGATATATTATTATTTGTTACAATATGCTTTATATTCTGGGAAAAGGCTACAATCTCATCACAGAATGATTCCGTGAGGATTTTTAGCCATTAGATAAACATGTAACTTCCATGTAATGACTAAAGACCCTCACGGAATCATTCCGTGACAGGATTATAGCATTTTTCCAATATTTTTGTAGTGGCTAGGTGAGCAATTATGGACATTTAAAAATAATCACATAAAAGGTTGTAACCATGGAATCCTAAAAAGCCTCCATCTAATTAAGTCGATCATGCTACAATAACATAATAGGTAATATGAAGTTTGACATAATAATACTCACTTGTTAAAGATCATCATGTAGTTTTACACCATCAACATTAAAATCAATAAATTTAACTTTAAGATAATGTGGTTTCACACGCTTGTTAAGATCATGTGTTTGACATAATACACACTTTTTGAAGATCATGTGATAATGTCAAATATCATTGTTCGTCTAAGCTAATGATATAGGTTACAACGATCCACATGCATCATTGATTAGGCTCACAAGATTGGTCAAAAAGGTACTATTGGTAAAAAGAAAGACGCATTCCATACATTTATAACAAAAAGGATCCTAATGTTGGAACTAACTTTAGGCGAAATACATCGCTTTAATCCAGGAGCTTTCATATCGAATAATTGAGAATCAGGACTGAATAGCGGAAGCGTACCTGAATCCATATGTGATTGATTTGGGGATTTGGCCTTCTAGGTCTATACGATCAGTACCTTTCAGAGAACCCTTTAGCTTTTCTCCGTAACCTCTCTGTCGATGGGATGCAGAAGAGATAATCTGTGGATGATGTATGACCTAGGGACCACAACCCTTATGTATATTAAATTACATTGGGTATCTCTATTTTAGCCCATCATTAAAATAGAAGACCCATTAGTTTCTACACATTAAAGGCCCACACCCTATTGATACTTTAAAACCCAATAACTTTAAACCTTAATTGATCACTTTTATTTGGGCTTCTTTATTTGACAACCACAATACAATAATTATTTCACATATTAGCCCAATGTTGGATTAAGGATCCAACACCTAACACTAAGATACAATTTTTTGTTTTAAACTAAAATTCAATGTGCTACATGTTAGGATTAAGATTAACAACTCAAGCTCACTTGTACATCAAGAACAACATACAAGCCTAAATGGAATCGATTGTAAAACCACCAAATTTATATATTGAACTTGGAACATTTAATTTTCTGATGTGATTGAATTTGCACATCCTACAAACTTCCACTCAAACACAAGACAATATACTTGGAACTCTCCTTGAACGAAATCTATACGATCCGACCATCTTGTGATCCACCTTTTCACCGGGAAGACTTTCGACACAAGGCACGCGAATCCACCGGCCCTCCGGCTCCACAGAGAACATGTCACGTCATCCACATTGCAACTGGGCTACCAACCGTGACTCTGATATCAATTGTTAAGGTTAACAACTCAAGCTCAGTTCATCAAGCCCAATATACAAGCCTAAATGTGGTTTCATTCTAAATTCAATTTACAATAAAAAGAGTAGCCACCAAGCTTACATATTGGACTTGAAACCTTTAATTTTCGGTATGGTTATATTGTATTTAGAGTTAGTTTATCTTAACAAATGAATAATATTAGTACACTTTGTGCTATATTGAACTGAACCTTAGAGGAGAAGTTTATTTTATATTGACCCAATAAATAAACTAGACTTCATGATATCGCTCGTACTCTTAAGTCGTCCACTAATAACGGGTATGTGTATTTAATATTTATTTCTTTCATTCATCAAAAGAGTGAGAATTATTCAACTAGGCCAATAACTCGATGAGTAGGGAAATATTATTATTTACATAGTTTGTTGTTGATTATATTCAGTCATTTTGTACTGGTGCGCCAAGTTGATGATGTCCCGAAACGAACTCAAAAAGTTTATTATTATAACCTTGTATATGGATTAAGTTCTAGCATAATAATAAGGTTGAATGGTACTAATTTTAGACAAGAAGTTAATAAATTTAATAGTCAATTATTAAATTAATTAACAAATATCATATCTTTGACAAGAGGAGATAAATCGAGGATAGCGAATCCCATGTACTTGTGGTGGCAAAAAAGTGCAATAAACATTTAGTAATATTATTTATTATTAATTACCCAAAAAATATGATGGACCATAACCCAAATATTTTTTGGCTCGTTGGAAGTCCTAACCCTAACCTCATTAAGCCTCATTGTAGCTTATAAATATATCATATGGAGAACACATTCTCAAGCATGAGAAATCACCAAAAACACACCAACCCTTAATAAATATAGGGCTTGGGACTTGAGTATGAGAGTGCATGAGATAAAGGAGTTTCGACACATGTCGCCAACACGACGCCCAACCAAGGTGAAAGAATACAACATAAGACATTGAGATCATGGGTTGATCAATACACATCTCGCACGATGCATAACCGGCAAACAATTAATGTCGACGCACACACGCACGCATGATGCGAGGCGAGGCCCGTGCATGCAGCATTAGGGAAGCGCGGGACGCACAACAATCGAACATGCAATGACACGCGATGCACATGAGCAGCAAGCGACGAGCAGCTGCCGACACGCGGACGGGACGAGGCGAGGTGAACGAGGAGGTAAGAAGAACAACTTAACTGTTCATATGTCCTCGTAGGTCGTGTACGTCTGCACATATTCGACTTAATTAAACAAGTAAATTTGAATTTGATTGTTATTCTGTTGCGTGATGATTCTTATCTTAAATTCTCAATCGATTCAAAGCAAGATCGACGAGTGTTCTTCATCGAACCCAATAAATACACCCATGTTAATTTTATTTTTTTGAGACTTCTAAAAAGTCTATCTGTGTTTATATTGAGATTCAAAAAGGTTTAAAAATTTTTAAGAATCTATTTGGAATACAAGCCTCTAAAATTCAGACTAATTCACTTATAAAATAAAACTAATACTTTTTTCGTTGCGCCTAGATTTGGATGAATGGGGTGTACTCCCAAGAAATTAATCAGTTTCAATGGTAATATATTTTAATAGAAATTCAACAATAATTTAATGTTATAAGTTCCGTTATTAAATAAAATGGATATCCAATTTGAAATTAGTTTTCATTTAAAAATTTAGTCAAATTTTGACGATTTCTATTATAGTTTTTCAAATGGTTAGAATTATCTGCGTAAAAAACAATTCAAACAAAAATTACAAGACAAATTTAATTTCAATGAAATATTTTAATGTTGATCTCCGTTATATTACTGAAATAAATGTATTTGTTACAAGATATATTATTATCTGTTACAATATGCTTTATATTTTGGAAAAAAGGCTACAATCTCATCAGGAATGATTCCGTGAGGATTTTTAGCCATTAGATAAACATGTAACTTCCATGTAATGACTAAAGACCCTCACGAAATCATTCCGTGACGGGATTCTAGCATTTTTCCAATATTTTTGTAGTGGATAAGTGAGCAATTATGGACATTTAAAAATAATCACATAAAAGGTTGTAACCATGGAATCCTAAAAAGCCTCCATCTAATTAAGTGATCATGCTACAATAACATAATAGGTAATATGAAGTTTGACATAATAATACTCACTTGTTAAAGATCATCATGTAGTTTTACACCATCAACATTAAAATCAATAATTTTAACTTTAAGATAATGTGGTTTCACACGCTTGTTAAGATCATGTGTTTGACATAATACACACTTTTTGAAGATCATGTGATTATGTCAAATATCATTTTTCGTCTAAGCTAATGATATAGGTTACAAATATCCACATGCATCATTGATTAGGCTCACAAGCTTGGTCAAAAAGGTACTATTGGTAAAAAGAAAGACGCATTCCATACATTCATAACAAAAAAGATCTTTAACACCAGATACGATTTTTTGTTTTAAACAAAAATTCAATGTGCTACATGTTAGGATTTAGATTAACAACTCAAGCTCACGTCTACTGTTCTACATCAAGAACAACATATAAGCCTAAATGGAATCCATTGTAAAACCACCAAACTTATATATTGAACTTGGAACATTTGATTTTCCGATGTGTGATTGAATTAGCACATCCTACAAACTTCCACTCAAACACAAGACGACATACTTGGGACTCTCCTTGAACGAAATCCATACGATCCGACCATCTTGTACCCACCTTTTCACCAGGAAGACTTTTGACACAAGACACACGGATCCACCTGCCCTCCGGCTCCACGGAGAACATGTCACGCCATCCACATTGCAACTGGGCTACCAACCTTGACTCTGATACCAATTGTTAAGATTAACAACTCAAGCTTGAGTTCATCAAGCCCAATATATACAAGCCTAAATGTGGTTTCATTCTAAAACCAATTGACAATAAAAAGAGTAGCCACCAAGCTTATGTATTGAATTTGCAACCTTTAATTTTCCGATGTGGATTGAGTTTGCACACCCTACGCTACCCATATACTCATCTAGCCTTTGTGAATAGTATTTTGTCTAATTAATATTTCTTACAATTTCTTTTTTATTTCTAAGTGGCCATTTAATAGGTTATAAATTTTACAAGATCGAGCCAGTCACGCAGACTAGATCGATCTTACAGCTTTTTTAAATTTGAATTAAATTTGAAAATAGGTAGACAAGCAAATTAAGATGATGCAGACAGAGAAGACAAACTATACATACTCTGTTCCCAACACTCTGTTTTTCAAAATCTATTAAAGAGGTTATATCTTATGTATCCACACACACACTCACATGCACCTCTTAACAACTCCTATCTAACCTACTCAATTATTAGCTTTTTCTTCTTATTTTCACAAACACAGACAAAAAGAATCATTACAAAATCAAACACAAGTCAAAACACTCACATTAATGAAGAGCCATTTTCTTGGATAAGACTAAGTTACATCTCCCTTCAAAGCTGAAGCAATGGGAAACTGCATAAACAAAAGCAAGGTGAGGCCACAAACAGAGGCCATCAAGCCTCATCATGATCAAGAAGAGACTAAATCGGACACCGACAAAAACGGGAGCACGGTGAGAATCAAGATTGTCCTAACAAAGGAGGAACTTGAGTGGCTTATGCTGCAGCTGGAAAACAGAAAAGGTAAGAAAGTTGAGGATGTTTTGAATGAGATACAAAGAAACAGAGGGAAAAGGCATGTTGTTTGGAGGCCATCTTTGGACAGAATAACAGAGTGTCATGAATTGGATGAGGAAATTGACAGATGAGTTCTTTTTTTTTCCTTAATTTATTTTAAGGTTGCCCATTTTGATCAGTGTACTAGGTTTTTAATATGGTAATATATGTGTAGTTATGGAGGTGAGCCATATTTGTGGTTAATGTTGGTGTTGATGGTAAATCTTGAATTGCCTTTACCATAGCTTCATGCGTTTTTGCGGCTGACCACCTCGCGAGTTTGGCGGGATTATACCCGATTGGCCTTCATCGAGTCTCCTCCCCGCCTACAGGAGTCCGTGCATGGCTTGAGCACGATAGCATTGGGGTTTCTATCCCCGACGAGTTCTAGCCTAACGTTTTTTAGCTTCTTCTTTGTACCAAAATAAAAATGTTGGTGTTGATGGATGTGGTAAAGGAACAATTTAGCAACTATTTCTGTTGAATGCTCCGTCAGCTGCATTGTTATTCAGGACTTCAGTGTGATTCATGTTTAATTTCTTGTTCTTCTTTTCCGTAACAACATTGAGAAAATTAGTCCATCCACTTATAAATCACTTTATATTTGCACATTTATGATTTTTTTTTTTAAATGCAAATATGCTAATTGTTAATGTTATGAATGGTTGATTTGTGATTTTTATTTTGTCATTGGTTTATAGGGATGAAAACGGAAACGGTAATTTCCGATTACCGGGAATCGTTTCCGAAATTTTTTCGGATTTAGAGGCTAAACGGAAACGGAAACGGTAACCGGAAAAACGGAAATGGAAACGGTAAAAAAATTCGAAAATGAAAACGAAAACGGTTTAGCACTTTTCCGATCGTTTTCAAAAATTATCGTATTTAAACGGTATTTTACCATCGGTAATATCGGCCCAACCCATACTAGGCTTACTTTTAATTATAAAGCCCAATCCAAATCCCAAATGGGCCAAATGCCCAAATCCCCTTTAGCCCAACCCTTCTACAGTGCCCAAATCATGAAATCCCCTTCATCCCTTTCGATCTTCACTCTCGAGTCTCGTCTGGGAGTCTGTCGTCTCTCCCATCTGCTCGTCGTCTGCTCGTCGCCACTCCCGTCACTTGCTCGTCGTCGCCGCGCCCCACTCCCATCACCGTCGCAACCGCATCTACAATGCCCAAATCCCCTTCATCCCGTTCGGTCTTCACTCTCGAGTCTCGTCTGGGAGTCTGTCATCTCTTCTATCGGCCGACGGCCATCGCAATTCGCCACGCCTGCTCGTCGTCACTCCCGTCACCTGCTCGTCGCTGCCGCGCCCCACTCCCATCAACGTCGCAATCGCACCAGCCGCTACAGGCTCCAGCTGCCGCCGCCTACCCCACTTTGGTGGACAAGTCACAATTCAATTGCTAGTTATTGGAATTTGTATGGATTTTGTTATAGCAAATGGTGTGGATTTTAATTTAGATTTTGCTACTATTATGCCATGAGAATATTTCAATTAATGTTTTAATGCTATATTTTATAATGTGGTGTGTTTATCATTTTTTAAATACTGTTTTAATATATTTCGATCGTTATCGATGTATTTTCGATCGGATAGTTTCGTTTTCGATATTACCGGAATACCGATGTCGTTTTCGTTTCCGACATTACCGTATCATTTTCGTTTTCGATAAAAAAAAAAATGAAAGTGGAAATGGTTGAGCCCTATGCCGATCGTTTCTGGTCGTTTTCATCCCTATTGGTTTATAAAGTAACTTTTTTTTCTATTTATTTATTTTAACAAATTTATCAATAGTTTATTTATATTCTTATTTTGAATAACAGTATATTTGTAGAAGCTTAAAAAATATAGTGAATTAGAAAATTGCAAATTTGGTCCCCTAAGATTGGGTCCGTTGCAAAATTAGTCATACTCGGTGGAAATTCAGTCCTTAGCTTTATTTCGTTGTGAAAGTAGTCCCAAAGCGTCAACATTAACAAAGTGTCACATGCGAGTCACATGACCGTTGGTCGTCAGGTTAAAAATGAGAAAATTATAAATTTGGTC